GCTTCCTTTCCCGACCACCTCCCAGGCCTGACAGATGCAGGACCATCTCCCAGACGGGGGGAAGAGAGGAAGGCTGTTTCCTAGGTGGCAACACCTACACCTGTGAGGAGGGCACGGCAGACCCTTTGAATGAGGCAGGCTGTCATTAACGTTGTAGGAGCCAGCAGCCAGCTGGTGCGTGGCACCCAACACACTGATGCCCACACAGCAGAAAGCCAGGCTCAGGCAGGGACTGGGGGAAACCTGTGGTGGATATGACCTGAGCTGAGGATGTTTGCACCCTCCCTATGTGCCATCTTGCAGCTCAGTGGTGGTGGGTCCCACAAGGCATCCTGCCCCAGCTCACCCCACAGAGCTCTGACCCCCTTGTAGAGGCTTGGACTGCTCAGGCAGCTCAGAAGGGCATTTGCCTGCTCATTTTGTTATATGCCTCTCCCTCCTTGCTTCATCTGCTGGGCTGTTCATTAACCACCCATGCGCTGGCCTGGTAGCAGCTACGTAACAGCCACCCCAGGGTCAATAAGCCCTGAGTCAGCTACCAAGAGCCTGCCCCAGTTGCAAGCCTCATCCTTGCATGCTGGAGCCACTCCAGAGACAGCTCTGCCCTTCATCCTGCAGACGGTCTCTGGGGCAGGATGGGTCCAGGCTGATGGCAGGCCATGGCAGGGAGGAGCCCCAGGCTCAGCCTTTGCTCTTCATGTTTGAAGCACAATGAAAAAAGAAAAGGCAGAGCCAGGGATCTCATTCGTCCTGGGAACAACACTGCCAGTGCCCAAGGAAAACTTTGGCACCGTCCATCAGTCTCTTGCCAGGTGAGAGGTACCCTGGGGTCAACAGCTACAGGCAGCAAAGGGGAAACCATGCTCTAGCAGAGACGAGGCAGTGTTTCCCCAGCCTTGCTGTCCTGGGTGACCCAGGACAAGGTACTAAACCAGCTTGTGACAGCTCAGTGCAGAGCACAGGCAGCTTTGCCGACAGTCACCAGCACATCTTTCTGTTCTCCTCCACTCTGCCCTGCCCTTTACCCAGGGATCCCAGAGACCTTCATCTCTCTGCCCGGCTTCGGTGAGGAGCCTGGCCTGCCGGCTCAGAGACCCTGGGGGAAGGAGAAGGGAGACCGGCAGTGTGAGCACCCACTCTCTGTTCCTCAAGATAACTAGACTAGAAAGAGGTCAGAATCCTCCTCTGCCTTACAGCATTTGCCAGGGGCTTATTTCCAAGCTCTCCTCTGCAACCAGGAAGATTAGAAACCTACATTTTCGGCAAAAGCTGACTTTCTTCCAAGTTTCCAGGAAAAAAGTAAACCCAACCAAACACACAAGAGCTGTTAACGGTGGCCTCTTGCTCTTTAGTTTGAAGGAAGCTTGAAATCCAGCTCTGCAGGTTGTCTCTCTTGCTCTACTTTGGGAACCACTTTGCAGCCAAAACGCTTGAGGAGAGCTAACACTCTCATTAAGTGCAAGCTGATGTGGAGCTGGAGCTAACAGCTTTCCCTGCCACCAGGAACAGAGGTCCCGGTTTGCTCCACAGACATTTGCAACCACTGCAAAAAGCTGCCACGAGAAAGGCTCCCAGACCCAGCTCTTACCTGAGACAGTGGGTGGGCAGTGCTGCTGTGCTGCGCCTGGTCTGTGACGTGCCACTCAGGACATCGTGAGAGGACATAGGGCCATTCCTGCATCACCAGGGGCTGCATCAGAACTGATGTTCATGGGGATGGAGACAACTCTGAGCACAAGCACCTGAAAAGCAGCGTGAGAGTCCCTGGGTCAGCTTGCACCTCCTCATGGAACTGACGCCCTTCCCAGCTGCCTAGTATGCTGTCTTCATGAAGGCTGAAGACTAAAAGGATGCATTTTTTTTTAATATATTTGTACTAATGTTGCAATCTTTTTTCATCTA